TTAAACTGTTGGACCTGATTTTTAATTTTGAAATAATAAACACATGACCCATAAACTTCTCCCCTAATTTCTTTCGTTACTGAAGCCCGAATCACGAGCCCGCTACACGTCCTTATCATTCCAATGCAACTTGAAACTTTGCAGGCTCTGTTTGATGTGCCAATGTGTGGAAGAATAATTACACTCTATCTTTTCCGCCCACGTGTAAACACTCAAACTGATAATATTTATTTATTTATTTATTGAAGATCTTAAATTATAATGCAGCACATAAAAGTATGGAGTGAATATAATTACGTAAACTATAGACATGAAATTTTCAAAACTCTAACCGACTTTCCGTCCTTAAATTCACGGGCATTTAATCGACGAGCATTTGATTGAGATTTCAAGTCGGGACATGAATTTATTGAAGTCGAATATCGATCATTCAATTTTTAATATCACCAATCACGCATTCTCAATTGGATAATTCTCGATTAATGATTTCCTTGACCTTTCCTAATTCAAACAATGACCAATACATATGTATATTTTCAAATACTTGTGATATCTTTTCAACGCCTAGTGGTGTACCAAAATTTCTAGCCTCTGTCTGTACATGTTGTCTCTTTCTCCGATCACCGGCTTCACCTCCGACTGTTTTTCCCGGCGACTTCTTCATATTGGTAATCTCTTATAAGGCGTAGTAGCTTTGTAGTTAGATTGCAAATATCATTGGGTGAATACTTAGCCCCTGTTTGGCCCCCATTATTGTTGATTTTTGGGGGGTTGAAAATTTTTAGAATAGTGATTGATGGGAGATGTGTGATTGAAAAGTTTTAGATTTGTGTGTATTATTATTTTATTTGATGAATGTATGGTTGAGATGAAGAGAGAAAAAAAATTGTTGATTTTTGGGGGGTTGAAAATTTTTAGAATAGTGATTGATGGGAGATGTGTGGTTGAAAAGTTTTAGATTTGTGTGTATTATTATTTTATTTGATGAATGTATGGTTGAGATGAAGAGAGAAAAAAAATTAATGTAATGTAATGGAAAATAATGGGGGCCAAACAGGGGCTTATTCATATATTGTACTTAAATAATTAATCACATCAGTTGTTTGTTTGATTGTATTTTGACTGTATATGCAGGCAGGCGAATATATTAATAATATACATCTCGCCGTGTGAGTTTGTATTTCTCGATGTGACGATTGAAAGTGACATTCAGTATCTTCTGCCGAACACAATTCTCCGTCACATACTATAACGAATTTCCACTTTATAGGGCTTCGTTTCATTCTCCTTTTGCTTCACTTTTGAAATATATAATTTGGGTAGGTTTAGTAGAGAGATCAGATAATTTCCAATTTTAATCCTAAATTATATAGTTTTCTTTGATTTATAATGATATTATGAATTTTGCAGGAGGCCGGACATGGGGGTTGAAATCGAAGGCGGCAGCTCCGAAATCACGAGGAGGAGAGGGTGTTCGTGTACAAAGGACGATTTTCTCCCCGAGGAGTCATTTAAGAGCTGGGGTAATTACGTAAATGCGATTAAGCATCTGCCGGAGCGGCTGGTGGATCGGGTGCTTTCCCGGTCCAAGGATCTGGCTGAGCTGCAGGTGAAGAAGCGGAGTGAGCACGAAATGAAGAAGACGCTATCGTGGTGGGACTTAATATGGTTCGGTATGGGAGCCGTCATCGGGGCCGGAATTTTTGTGCTAACAGGTCAAGAGGCACGTAACGGAGCTGGTCCTGCCATCGTACTCTCTTACGCCATCTCCGGCGTCTCTGCCTTGCTCTCCGTCTTCTGCTACACGGAGTTTGCGGTTGAAATCCCAGTGGCAGGTACTCATACTATACATGCATGAAATCATTTTCTAAAGAAGTTTGCATAATTTCCGGAGGGCATTTCTAACCAATATTTTATAATTTGGCCAAGCTTTGATTAAGAAAAAAGTAAGAATCAACGATGAAAGAATTTAATTGGAGTTGAACCGTAAATCGAAATTTTAGTTAATCCAATCATTTGTGTTTGGTCGAACCGATTTTTCTTTGACTAAATTTCATCCCGATATTTTAATATACCACTCTAAAATTAAATTTGGATTGATTTTCAGACCAATTTTTCCAACGTTCAAGCAATAGCCATTAGGTACAGTAGTGTACCATTTAGTTACATTAAAATGTATTGCATTATAAGTTGAAACCCACAAGTTTTCGCTACATAAAATTATATATTCACAAATCACTTGTATTGACGTTTTATTTACGTTGTTGGATGCTGAATTAATAGATGCTGGCAGGAAGCATTCGATACATTGACTACTCTCCTTTTCATATTGGATTGTACTTAAGTCTTTGTTTGGGTTACATTTCAATTTAATGTATTTTTCTGTTTCTTCATTTTAACCACACATTTTTCAATAAAATAATATGAAACGTAAATTCAAAAATTTTCTTTACTTTTTAACTTACATTCTCCAAAAAAATATTATTCCAAAATATATTTTTTCCAAAACCTCGTTAAAATGAAGCCCAAACAAGGGCTTAAGATTTACTGGTTTCATTGGTCATGAAAAAAAAAAGGAAGAAGAAAAAGAAAGAGAGGAATATTTAGTTATAATTAAAATTACCTATTAAAAAGTAAACGTTTTCTTAGTATAAAAAGTAACTTTAATTTTTAATTTTTTAAAAAAGCTAAGTAATCTAGAAATAATTTTGACTTGCTTCTAATTACAACCAAGTATGCATTTTTGTTGGGTAAAAGAAAATTTGTCTCGATATTGACTTTGCAGGTGGTTCATTTGCCTACTTGCGGGTGGAGCTGGGCGACTTCATGGCCTTCATTGCTGCTGGAAATATCCTTCTTGAGTATGTTATTGGTGGTGCTGCAGTGGCGCGGTCATGGACTGCCTACTTTGCCACCCTTTGCAACAAGGATGCTGCAGATTTTCGAATCACGGCCCACAGTCTACCCGAGAACTACAATGAACTTGACCCCATAGCTGTTGGTATCATTGCAATCATTTGCATCGTTGCAGTTCTAAGCACTAAGGGCTCGTCTCGTCTCAACTATATTGCATCAGTAGTCCACATTGTTGTGATTATCTTCATCATAATTTGTGGCCTCATCAAAGCTGACACCAAGAATTACTCCAACTTTGCACCAAAAGGGGTACGAGGTATCTTTAAATCTTCAGCAGTGTTATTTTTCGCCTACGTTGGTTTTGATGCTGTTTCAACAATGGCTGAGGAAACTAAGAATCCGGCCAAAGATATCCCCATTGGCCTCGTTGGCTCTATGGTGATCACCACAGCCCTATACTGCATCTTAGCAGTAACTCTTTGCCTAATGCAGCCATTTGGTTCAATTGATGCTGATGCTCCATTTTCAAAGGCATTTGAAGCTGTAGGGTGGGGATGGGCTCAATACGTTGTTGCTGCCGGAGCGTTGAAGGGCATGACGTCGGTGTTGCTAGTTGGGGCAGTGGGCCAGGCCCGATACCTAACCCACATAGCTCGAACTCATATGTTACCTCCATGGTTTGCCAAAGTTCATCCCAAGACAGGAACACCAATAAATGCGACAATAGTCATGCTTGCTGCTACTGCAGTCATTGCCTTCTTCACAAAACTTGACATTCTAGCCAATCTCCTCTCAATCTCCACACTATTTATCTTCATGCTTGTGTCTGTTGCCCTTCTAGTTCGTCGTTACTATGTTAGTGGTGAAACGACCAGAGAAAACCGGAACAAGCTTATCGTTTTCCTTTTGCTTATCATTACATCTTCAATTGCCACTGCTGCTTACTGGGGTGCTAGTCCAAATGGTTGGATTGCATTCTGCATAACCGTGCCTATATGGCTATTGGCTACAATTGGGCTTTGGCTTTTCGTCCCTCATGCTCGGGATCCTAAGCTGTGGGGAGTTCCACTGGTACCTTGGTTACCATCAGCATCCATTGCCATTAACATCTTTCTTCTTGGATCAATAGACAAGGATTCATTCATAAGATTCTCAGTCTGGACTGCAGTCCTCTTGTTGTACTATTTCTTCTTTGGACTGCATGCATCTTATGATACAGCCAAGGAATTCGATGAGAAAGCAACACAAGATGGCACATGGAGGAAGATTGAGGAGGGAAATGTGCCATCGGTAACAAAATCTGGCACTGATGCTGAAGATAGTAGAATTGATCCTGCAGAACCTACTGCCTAAAACAGTTTCTGATGATTGGAATGAACACGTGAAACTTTGTTTCTATGTATTTCACTTGCACTTACATTTCCCATCCGTTTAACAAGATGCTGTTGAAATATACTGTACACAAACTAGTTTATACTTGTTATGTACAAAGCACTCTTTTTAATATTATGGTCACGTGTGATTGTATGCAACGTTGTTACCTATAAAACTATTTCAATTTTAATTTCACATATACTATGGATGTGAAAAATTGATGGGTTTCAATCATAATCTTTTGTTATGATCCTGTGTTTGTACTCTGCCTATATATGTCTTTTGTATGCTGAATAAAAGAGTTTGTGATAAATCAAAGCTCTATTGGCCCCTATCTTTTAAATTAATGAAAATCCTGATTGTGCGTTTAATTGTCAATATTTTCCATGTAAAATGTCATTTTTTCTATCAAAATTCATACTTTTGTATTGTTTGATTGATATTTTTTTTCATGGAAAATATTTTCATACTTTCGGTTACGTGACCATATTTTCCTCGAAAACAAGGAAAATATTTTCTTTCGAGAAATGTTGTTTTTTTTTTTTTTTGGCATTAGAAATGTTCTTTGTTTTAATTACTTTTTAAGGATTTTGATTATTTGATTTATCATCTAAAATTATGGGTTCGTTCATCCTCGATTCAAAAAAAATTGATCCTAACTCTGTGAATTCAAGGGAGTGTAGCAGTTTAGATCTATATTAGGCATGTGTGTTTGATTTGCATGGAAAATATTTTCTTAAAAACAAGGAAAATTAGGCATATTTTTAAAAGTCGAAAATATTTTTCATGGAAAAAAATAGTAATCAGACACTTCAAAATAGAAATTCGGGTGAAAAATTAACATTTTCCATGAAAAGTAAATGCAATCAACCGCACCCTAATTGTTTTTACGGAAATTTTGCATGTGTTCTAATACATGGTTTAGAAGCAATTCCCAATTATGTTTAGATGTGCTTGAGAGTGCATCACAAACTAATTTTTCTCGCTTGCTTATCTCTAGCCGTGTTTGGGCATCATGGTCTAATTTTTTTGTTGGCAGTGTGATTGGATCTAAGTATTTGTTGCAACTTACCCTCTAAATGCCTAGTTTGGTTCAGTTATGTGAATTTGACTCTTGTAAAATTCACTATGGGTCCATTTGATTGGAATTTGGATGGAAAGAAAATGAATTTCAAGGAATTGTGTCTATAATTCATTTTACTTGGAATTGTCAATTAATTATGTATGATTTGTATAATTTTTCACCTGGAAAATATTGAAATTTTGGATCTTTTAGTGTTCGTTTAGCTTTATTTTCCATGAAAATTGTCCATTAAAGAATTTTTTTTATATATAATTAGGGATATAATTTATTTCCATTACAAAAAAAAAAAGGCCAGAAAACCCCAATTCCTACCAAAGTGGTGGGAAAACCAATTTCTCAAAAACGAGGAAAAGTCAATCACGTAAGGCTTCGTTGGAAAACAAATTCTATGGAATATTTTACCTATCAAACATGGCAAAAATTGGAAAGTTGAAAAATATATTCCAACTTCCATGGAAAATGGCAGCTATCAAACAGGGCCTATATGCTCCTACCATAGTGAGTGTAAAGTGGGCTAACTGGTTGAGAGACGTTTGGCATTCATTGTATTACTAAATTCATCTTGCATTCGGACTATATTTGTGCAGAGATTGAGGGTACCATTGGACAATACTTCTAAAAAATTGATAGAATAATTTTTATGGAAAAGTTACAATTTTCACGGAAAAAAAATGACTATTTCCATGGTAAATAATAACTATCAAACATCAAAATATGAAAAATGTTACATTTTATAGGTTGAAAATTAAGTAAATCAAACACGTTTAATTGACATTTTCAATGCAAATTATTTCTAGACAATCGAATTGCTTAGAATTTATTTATTTTTATATAAATTTAATTATTGAAATCAAAATGAGAAACCATCTATCTGGACAAAAATATAAATAAATAAATAATTGGACAAATTGTAATTTCAAATTTAACAAATAAATGGAGAAAAATATATAAATTTACAATATATTAAATATCACATCAAACGAAAATTATTATTTTTTGGATAATTTAACCCTACTAAAATTCAATTATTTCAATAATACATTACTTTTCATTTTCAATATGTAATAAATAATACAAATTCCTTGTCATGTATGTATTTCGTGTTATTAATCTTCAATTAATTAACATTAACATTAATCTAGATTCAATGAATATTGATTTGATGAATTTTGATCTACTTGAATCTAGAGTTGTTACAAATAAATTTATTTCTATTCATGTATCTATGAATTTTAATAGGTGTTTAAATTCATATATTAGCATTTAATTCTTATGTACCAAATGTAGTATAAAAAAATTGTTCATTTATATTATTTTATCATCACAAAAAATTTGAATCATAAAAGTTGAGTTTTAAGAGTACAATTTTTTTTTTTTTTTAATTTCTATCTCAAATTTTATTTTATTTTTATTTCATTTGACACTCATCAAATCTCTCAATAAATTGGTATCAAATATTACTTCTATAACCCTTATTGCGTTCAACTACTAGTATAAAATAAAAATCTTAATCTTTTCTAATCTCTTATAGAGGTGAACGCGGTTCGATTTGGACGGTTTGTGCCACATTCTCAACTCAAACCATTTCATGTGGTTTGAAATTTTTTCAAACTAAACCAAACCAAACCATAATTTGCGGGTTGGTTCGATTTTAATCTGCGATTTACCTATCGATATTATAATAATATATTTAAAATTGGTTTAAATGAGAATTAATAATGTTAAATATTAAATTATATTCATCTTCCCCACGAAACTCATGAATAAATTATTTTCAAAATTGATTGTTAAAAGATGTTAAAAGAACGAATATATATTTCTTCCTTTTTATTTACATTTTCTTGTTTGCCTTTCATATTGTCATATAGTGGTTGGTAAAGATAGATTCACATTCTGTTATAATAGTTTGATTAAAATTCCTTTCGTCCTACTAGCGAGATGAAAAATAAGGATTGAACGTGATATGTTTAAATATACAAAGAATGATAGAGTTTAGATTTATTGAAAATGGACAAATTTTATTCTCTAACGACTTTACGAAAGTAGAATGTAGTAGTACTGGTTAGGGAACTTTAACATTTTCATACAATCAATACGTTCTATCCTTTGTTCTTTTTAAACGACAGACAAGTTCATTAATCACCTAGGCACACAAAAAATCATTTTTTAAAAATCCAAATCACAACTCACAAGTGTATAACAAGTTAAAAGACAACAAATAAAAGAAAGAATAATTAAAAAAAATAACTTCAATGAGAATTTAAGACTTTTCAAGAGAGAAGAGAGAAATTGTGAGCCAGGTAGAAATTAACAAACCAACAAGCAAAAGGCGACTAACGATTTGCGATTGAGAATCACATTTTGTTCAGCAGTGGCAGACATGCGTCAAATGTTTGAAAAATGAGAGTTTATGTAGCTTCTAAAGTTGTGGACGTGATTTGCTGTCATAATTTTGTTGTATTATGATTTGGATTGTTGAAAATAAATGTTTTTTTCATATGATTTGGGATTAATTTTAGTTTAGATTAAATATCGAGTCACAACGTGTGTTGTGGACTTATAAAACTATCGGCCAATAATGATGAACTAAATTTACTTTATATGATTATTTTAATACGTTGACTGTAATTTGTATTGCTAAATTGTTATTTTTTTCTTAAAAGTAAAAAATTTAAAATTTGTAAGTCAATAAAATTAATTTTTTAATTAAAAAATTAAAAAAAGGGTTCGATTTTGTGCGATTTTTGAAAATTGAAAATTGAAACCTAAACCAAGTTATTTTGAAATGGTTTGGTTCGGTTTAAATGAAAAAAACAAGGGTCCAAGTGTACTCGAACCAACAGTTTCTGTTCGATTTGCAGTTTCACAATTTTTTTGTGCAGCTCTAGTCTCTTCAAACTTCCACAACCCATATTCCCTCGGCGGCTCGGCGTCAGCTTTTCTCATGAAATTGTGGACGGAATGCCTAAATTGAAATGAAATGAAAAGAAAATATAGTGACTAATTTAGATAAAATGATATGTTCAATGACTAGAGTGAAACCACAAAATAAGTTGGGTGAGTAATAGTGTTTTTAACATGATTTTCTCCCAATTTGCTCTTCTTCCCTTTCTTCTCCATTACCGTCCGTTAAATCACACAAAACCATTGCACTGCAACCCCAAATCACTACAAACCTTAATTCACATTTGATATATACTAATTCACACGCATATATTTGCACATATATAGTCAAATTGGTTTTATATAATTGATAATTATGGATGACGGAGAAGGGGGTTTAAGCTTTGATTTCGAGGGGGGTCTAGATATGGGCCCGACACAGCATCATACATCATCGGTACCCGTCACCCATTCATCGGCGGGCCCGATTACCGCCTCTGCAGCCGCCACCAATGTCAATAATTCCCCAGCCGCCCAAGTTCAGGTGGTTCAGGCGGTAGATGGTATGAGCGGAGCCGGTGGCGGGGGTAGGCGGAGCTTCCGGCAGACGGTGTGCAGGCATTGGTTGCGATCCCTTTGCATGAAGGGTGACGCCTGTGGATTTCTCCACCAGTATGACAAGTCGCGGATGCCCATCTGTCGGTTTTTCCGGCTCTATGGGGAGTGCCGTGAGCAGGACTGTGTGTATAAACACACTAATGAGGATATCAAGGAATGCAATATGTACGTATACATGCAGTTTTTTTCCGTATTTTTGATATATGTGGGGATTTGTGTGTGTGCGCGTGTTCTTGAGGACAGTACTGAGCAAGGTTTGACCTTCATAACTTGTTTTTAATAGGACAGTTTTAGTTGGGCTGCAATGGATTTCTTTATGTTCAGGGTTATGAAAAAATTAATGATTGTCATAATTTGAAGTTGGCCTGACATTGATGAATTAAGATTTAATGGGTTTTGTTAAGATAATGGGCTACAGCAGTTTGGAAATTTCAGTACTTTTCCCACTTCCTCTGGATCTTGTTTCCCTCTGTCCATGGGATGAATAGTTTTCCTTCTTCCACAAGATGAATGCTATGGAAGGATATGTAAGCAGATAAATTTGTACTTTGTTGTCTTTGGGTCATTGGAAAAACTATTGACTTTGCTAAACGAAATGAATGGTTGTTAGTTCTCATATGTGATATATCGTGTATCTTGTATATAAGTTGGCTATGTGGATCTTCTCATACATGATATAAGTTTTTATTTGGATTTTTTGTATACAAATAATCATGGAATGCTACCTCCAACACTTTGGGGAAGTCGTGAAAGTTTCGTTAACGTCTTTTGTTACACACAACACTATGCTAAATTTTTTATTTTGCCCCTGTTTGAGCCATATTTTTTTGGGAAAAATGAGTTTTGCAATAGTGATTTTTTATAGTGAGTGGTTAAAAAATATGAATATTTTTTGTGTGTTTACGTGTAAAATTATTTTATTGGAAGATTGTGTGGTTGAAAATAAGTTTTTAAAGAATGGGGCTCAAACAGGGGCTTTGCCCCTCCTTTATCTCTAACCAGAGATCCTCAATCTCATTGATGGTTTAGAAAAAGAAAAATAATGGCATCCTAATATCTTATCATCTGTCTGTATTCTAATTGGATGCTCTATATTATAGGTATAAATTAGGATTTTGTCCAAATGGTCCTGATTGTCGGTACAGGCATGCAAAGTTGCCTGGTCCTCCACCTCCTGTGGAAGAAGTTCTTCAGAAGATTCAACAGTTGACATCCTACAACTATGGAAACTCAAACAGGTTTCTTCAAAATCGTAATGCTAATTACTCCCAGCAGACAGAAAAACCACAGTTCCAACAAGGACCCAATGGAGTGAAACAGGTAGTAAATACAACCACGACAGAGTCCGCTAATGTGCATCAGCAACAAAATCAACAGTCTCATCAGCAGGTCAGCCAGACTCAAATGCCGAATCCTGCTAATGGCCAGCAAAATCAAGCTAGTAGGACTGCGACATCCTTGCCCCAGGGAACATCTAGGTGTGTTCAGAGTTATGAGGTCTTTAATTAGGTTGCGTTAAACAGTTCATGTATTTATTCTGGATGTTATTTTGAGAGACCTGTCCTGTGTCGACTGTAATTAGTTTTTTTAAAGCCTTCTTAGCGACCATAACTGGTTTCATCTTATTTAATTCGACATTTGTTTTCTCAATCAATGTATATATTAACCTTCCTCATGCTCTTTTGCTCCTGTAATATGTGACCTTGTTTACATGATTTAGCACTGGATTGAATGAGTGGTGAAAAAATGTACTGGACCTCGAGTCTAATGAGAATAAGGCCTAGTTTCTTCTTCTTGGTGTTGTTTACACATGAGGAATGTATTTGAATAATTACCATTTTACACCACATTATTTTGAATGAAAGTAATTCTCACGGTCCTGCAATTTTAATCATTGCCTCACATTTATTGGCAATGAATTGCCTTGGAGCTGATAATATTTACTAGAATATGTTATTCTTCTATGTTGCCGTGAGAATTGCTAATGTGGTGAAAAATCTAAGGCTCTGACTGAGACAGAGCATACTTCTTCTTCTTTAGCAGTGTGCACACGTCTTTCCTTTCTAACATCTTTGAACCATTAGTATGATTCCACTTTTCTTTATAATTGATTCTGACCATACTGGATAAGGTAACAAGACTTGATTTGCTCCAGCAGGATGCTTGTTAAAACCTCTGAACTAATGAAGATATGTTATGCTTGGCTTTATATATCAAGAAAGTCAAAAGGACAACTTTTGGCGGACAAGACTAATGAAGCTCATAGCTCCCGTCTGAAATAAGAGCCTTCATTTATCTCTCTCTATATCTTTCTTTCTGTCTTTTTATCTTTTTCTGTGCATGTGGTGGTTAGGGGTTGGTTTGGGTGCAGACTTACATGTTTGCACTAAAATGCAACTTGTGATTTTTCCAGAAAATGGTTCTGATCCTTAAAAGAGGAATTTGCTACATGTTAGTTGAAGTTGTTGTACCTATATGAAAATTTAAATTTCCATTTTTTCGACGAGTGTTCACACTCTATGTATAAACGTGTTTGATTGTCATAAAATCTTCAAAACTGGGTTCTATAGTTTGATGTGTCAGCCCTGCTGGTTTTTTGTCCTAACCAGTGTAGTCTTTATATCCTAAATATTAAATCCGGTTGAAAATATGTTAGAATTGAAAAGATTGTCTTTTCTTGGCTCTCTGAGGCCGATGCTTCAAGGAGTTTGGCCTTCTGGTTGTCCCTTGAGGTGTTATAATTCGCTGCAACATGGCTCTTGCCATATGTCTGGATAATGCTTACAGGAGTTTTGCAAAAACGATGACTAATTTAAATGTGGTGGCCTTATATGCCACGAAATATGTCTCCTTCCCCTCCCTTCCTAAAAAGGGGAATGGGTTAAGTTCCATATCAGGTTGTGTCAGTGCATTTCTTTTCCTGAATAGATATTTTGTTTTGTATATTGAGTTCCTGTACTGCAGCGCGTGGTAACCAATTTTGCTTATATTAAATATTTGGAATAATTTGTATCTCGTCACTTTCCTTTCTCCAAGTAAATTTCCCCATCCCTTTGTTTTCTGAAAATGTTGCTACCTTTGAGATCTTGTTGCTTACCTTTTGTATTCCATTTGCATGTACATATATAGGTATTTTATTGTCAAAAGTTGCAACCGTGAGAATCTGGAATTGTCTGTACAACAAGGAGTATGGGCAACCCAGCGAAGCAATGAGCCTAAACTAAATGAAGCTTTTGATTCTGTTGAAAATGTCATTTTGATCTTTTCAGTCAACAAGACAAGGCATTTTCAGGTAGGTTGGATATTCCCATGTTATTAGAATTGCCAATGTTGTGACTGAAAGGTCAAAAAGTTTTTATATTTGGATTATTTCATAATTTCAAACAAAACTATTCCTATATTTACGTTGCAGACCCATTTGTTATTTATTAGGGTTGCGCAAAGATGACATCTAGAATTGGTGGCTCTGTCAGTGGAGGAAATTGGAAGCATGCACATGGAACTGCTAACTATGGGCGGAATTTTTCTGTCAAGTGGTTAAAGGTACACATTTTATTTTTTCCATATATACATGTTGAAGGAACTTCACTCTTCAACTGTTGCTGCTGCCGGATGAACTAGACTTCTCACTGTTTCTACCTTCCGAAAGGCATACAGTTATGACAATGGTAGAGATATTTGTCGGCATTATCAAATTCTGTGTAGTAGCATTGTTTTGATCAAATAACTCCTTTAGCTCAAGAAATTGGTGGTTAGATGCAAATCGTATCCTCATTTAAATAAATTCTGTTAATTTCGGTGGCATCACTTTCACTGCTGCCATCTTTTTCTCAGTCGCCAACTTTTCAAAACCATAAAGCATGGTGGTTGTAAATGTTAATCCGTAATTTTCTGGTACTAGATGTTTTTAATTAATCACTACTGGAACATTCTTAATTTTATTCAATTTACCTACCTTTGTGTCAGGCATCTCTAGGACCATATGAAGTTGGTGTTTTATGTAAAAAGGTCTATTGTCATCTGATACCATCAGGTATCATACTATACATGTGGTCGCATATGTTACTTTACACAATTTGTAAACAACAAGTTTCTTGATACAAACGCAGAGCTTAATTTTTGACAAGTTAATAGTTTACACCACAGTTATTCAAATATGTGCACAAAACTTTTTGATGCAGAATATTGAGTGTGAAAATTGCTCATCACAATATATCATATGTTGTTTACTTTAGAATTATGGAACAATTATACTCAGCTGTTAACTCCCGTATTCCCATCATAGTAGTTAGGATTTAAAGTTTTGTCTGTTTTCTTGTTATTCTGTCTGAAAAAACAGTGTACATGCTTTTTCATTATATGTGAGCTTGCACATGGATCAACACTTATATGCACATTGTTTGATTTGATCATTGTACAACGTGAACCCATTTTTCCCAAAATGCTTATACATGGGCGATGGTCTAAGCAAAATTCTGAGCTGTTACCCACTCAGGGTCAACAATTTATACCTGGATTGATTATTTGATTTCTAATATGTGCTTTCAATGTCATCACTTCATGGGCAAAAATGTCAGCTTTTTGTTTTCAAAGTTTCTATGTTTAGGTCATTATGATATAAAAACATTGCTGTTTTGCCCTTTTCATTTATTCGCAAGTTCAAATTGTGGAAACATTATGAGGAACTCCAGTTTCTGCATCGTTATTTTTTTTCTTGACTGCCATTATTTTCTGTTAGCTGCTGGGCTATTTTCACCATAGTTCTGTGATACAGTTTCTTCTTTATTCGACCATTCCAGCTTTAACTGTAATTAATGCATATTCTAAATCATCTACAGTGAATGAAACACTGAAGCACTCTGATCTGGATGCTAACTAATAACCATGATGTTTTCATGCAGCTCTGTGAATTGTCCTTCCATAAAACACGGCATTTGAGAAACCCATTCAATGAGAACTTACCAGTGAAAGTACTTACTTGAAACTCTTTCTTATATCCATCTCTAAGATATACTTTGATATTGGTAAATTTCTGTTCTTATCGAAGCTCATTTGGTTATGAAATCAATTGAAAATTTGAAGAGAAGGCAATATTCTTTATGCGTCAATAGCAATCTGGAATTTTCTCTGGCACATTAGAATGTGTTATGCTTTCATTGTATAATGAAATACATTACAATGGCACTTAGACAAATGATTTGACTCTTTTGGTGCCACACAAGTCTTGTGCTAAAGTTCTTAATGATATGAAGTTAAAGTCCGGTTAGTCATGTGCTTTCTTTAACCCTGTAAGAAATATAAATTGTATTATATTGACTTCTTAATATTACAATGTAGAAGACCCTATTTTTAGGGTTACAAATAACTGTAAAAGGAAATAAACATAAAGGGAAATATTACACAATCAACTATTAAGGAAAGTAAATATTATAATTGCAATCTTCGACGATCTTCGGAATCTTATTCAATCTTC